CAGTTTTTAATAAGATTTTAGAAAAGTTGATGTATAGGAGATTGGTAAACTATCTTCAACAACTCAATATTTTATATGATAAACAATTTGGCTTTCGGACAAATCATTCAACTAGCCATTCTATTTTATGTATTATTGACAAAATTCAACAAGCAATTGAGGAGAAAAATTACTCTTGTGGAATCTTCCTTGATTTTAGTAAGGCATTTGACACTATTGATCATACTATTCTAATTCAAAAATTAGAAAAGTATGGTATTAGAGGAGTAGCAAAGGAATGGTTTCATTCATATCTCACTAATAGACAACATTTCGTGTCTTTGAATAATATTTCTTCAGACTTATCAACAATAAATTGCGGCATACCCCAAGGATCAGTTCTTGGCCCACTGCTTTTTCTTCTATATATTAATGATTTCCACAGGTGCTCAAGTAACTTGGGTTTTCATCTCTTTGCTGATAATTCAAATTTGTTTTATAAGCATAAAAACCTTTGTACTCTTCAGTTAAATGTTAATAAGGAATTAATGAATATTCACACCTGGCTTTCTGCCAACAAGTTATCTCTAAATATGGAGAAATCAAACTTTATTATATTTCATTCCGTACAAAAAAGATTAGCCTATAATATTAAGCTAGAAATCAATGGTATCGAATTAAAAAGAACTGAGAGCATTAGATATCTTGGAGTATTCCTTGACTCCAATTTGAACTGGAAAAGTCATATTGGATATATCTGTAAGAAACTGAAAAGAAATATAGGTATTCTTTCTAAAATTCGATACTATACTGACATTAACACTTTAGTTAAGTTATATTATGCATTGATATACCCATTTTTAACCTATGGTGTAATTACTTTGGGTATAACGTATTCTACTACATTGCATCCCCTATTTGTTTTCCAAAAAAAGGCCATAAGCTTAATTACTTTTTCTTCGTTCGATACGTCTTCCAGTGAACTCTTCAAACTCCTAAATTTGGTCAAATTATCAGATTTATATACCCTGCATGCTACTATATTTATGCATCGCTACTATCATCATAAATTACCTTTCGTCTTTAATGACCTATTTATTCCAGTAAACAAAGTACATAGCTACAACACTAGATTAGCATCTAAGCAAACATATTCTTTACCAAAAACCAGAACTAATTTCGGAATTTTTAATATAAGATATCAAGGACCTAAAATATGGAACTCTCTGCCTGAAAGTGAGAAAAAGTTGTCAGCGTCTCAGTTAAAAATCTGTTTAAAACTTCGCTTTATTGAGTCGTATTAGGTCAATTTTTCATATTGTTTTATCTAAAATGTGATTGAATTGTGTTTTTTGAATTGTGTTTATTGCTTTTGTCTTTTGATGTGTGTTGGTTTTTTGGTTTGTTTTTTAGTGCAAAGTTTGAGAAACTTTGCAGTATTGTGATGAGTGGCGAAAATTCAAACGAGTCAGTAAGTCAGTCAGTCATAGTGTAAACTTTACGGGGGGTAGGTTGATTTATGCGTGTAGTAACTTTTTGTATATGATCAATAATTTAAGGTTTTTAAATCAGTTTAACTTGCTTTATTTATTAATGCACTGTATCCCTTTTGCTAAGTTCACCAACATATTGAGGAATTTTGGCGGTTACTGTAAATTTTGAAGCATTGCTTTTCCGCGGTTTGGGTTTTTGTCTTAAAGGGATTTGCGCAGAATTACCCCGCGGAACACCCGATTCTTTCTCACACGTCGCAACTGCGCATGTGCCGTCGAGACTTGAACATTATTCACAATGTAAAGAAACGAGGAGCGACGAGCATTGCTTCAAAACATTCCGGGCATAAAAATCGAGCAATTCTTTGAGAATCTACGCAATTTATCAACTTATGTTATGAGTTACGAGCATTCAATTCAACACAAATATAATTTGGAAGGTTTATTCCATAAATAGAGCTAAGAGGTTAGGAAGAAACGACGCTGTGTTGTTTATGTATTTATAGACTCTTACAGATGTATATTATGTCGATAGCAAGTCGATACCTGATATTCTGCATACAGTACATAAATGATACTATTCAAAACGGACATTTTGTGCAGTATTCAAATCATTTTGGCGGTATACAGTATTGATTATAAGTATATTGTTTTGTATCGATTTACGCGTCGAAGTATCGACATCATAGCCATAATATGCACCACGGTTTATTTACATTATTTACAACGCAACTATTGTGGCTATTCTTATGAAGTGACGGATAAATTGTAGCCATCATATAAATGTAGTGAATGTAGTCACAGTTGTTTGACGAAGAAAAGAGACTACACTGAGAAAATCGCGCCCAGTTAGCGAGTTAGGCCAGTTTACATGGGCAACTAAAATTATAATTTAATAGTGACAGTATCCGCGGCTAACGTAATTTGAGTACTTCGAGTAATTTCCTTTTGATTAATGTTTAACCTAGTTCATTATATTTTTACTGGCATAAGTCAAAATGTTTATGTTGGGACAAACGTCTGGTTGCTTAGGTATTACAGGGCATGAAAACTTTGCACTATCCTTGGATCCCTAGTTTTTTTTCTTTTTTCTGATACGTTTGTCTTGTTTTGAAATTTTTGCTTACTAATTAAATATCGGAAATCTTCACTATGCTGTATATGGACGTTATCTGCCCAATCCAGTTAGCCCTTATGGTTATTTTGGGTGGATAATACCCACATCTATTATTAATATTAACAATGTAAATAATTTTAATGATTTTATAATGGGTGAATAAATTCTTCTTCTTCCACCTCCATTGTAAGAGTGGACCTAAGTAATTTGGATGATAGCACTGCACCTGGCAAAGATAATGTTTCAAACTGCGACCCATTACCTGCTACCGGTGAATCATCAATTACGGTGGCTACAACATCTACAACCCATGCACCAGAGAAGTTTATATGTGTATGTTGCCCTACATGTCAGGGACATTTTTCCAGCAATGAAATTGAGGACCATGCTGACAGATGTGCTGAAGCTGCCTGGACTGGATCCAGAACACCTAGTGTATGCTAGATTAATGGCAGACATAGAGCCTGATGACCAAGATTGCTTGGAAAACCAATCAACTGCAGAGAAAAATTCAGACCCTGAAACTGATAATGTCAATCCCAGTATCCCACCTCTCATTGATCAGCAGGATAATTGGGACCTTACAGGTGATGATGGAAGTCCAGCAGACACAAAGTCTGTATTAATTAGTACCTTGGGAACATTGCAAGCAAACCTCAGCACCCGTACCAATAGAATCAATGTCCAGAGAACAAGTGTCCTCGATGATTACATTGATGCATGCAAACAGTGGCATTGGTTCAGCCCTGAAAACAAAATCAAGGTTGTTTTCATTGGAGAACCAGCAATCGATACTGGTGGGCCAAAATGTGAATTTTGTTCTTGTATGTAAATTTAAATTTACAAAAATAGCATTCTATAATAGTGGGATTAATTTGGATTTACTAAATATAGGATATTTTCATTTTTGATTAAAGAAAAAAGTTTAGCATGTGAATATAAGATTTTTAAAAATTTTTAGCCATTGCCATTATCACTAAATGCAAAAGATGTTTTTGCTTTCAAATCTGAAAGGTTGTATCAAATGAATACTGAGTCCTGTGTGGTGACTAGGGCATTTGCCCTTGTAATTTATTTTAAATAATGATTCTTCTAATATTAAATTTTTTTATCTCTGCAAGATGTGCTTCAGTAGGTACAGAATCGACTATTTGACAATAGTGGAATGCCAGTTGCAAGCACTCTGGCATTGACACAGGACCTTTTTAAATATGCAGGTGAATTGATGGCAATATCCATTATCCAAGGTGGGCCAGCACCAAACTTCCTGTCATCTGTCATATTTGACATAGTTGCTAAAAGGCCTGTCAAAAGCTGTGTACTCCCTGGAGATGATTAAGGATCCAAATTTAAAAGAAATTGCTACCCAGGTACAGTATTGACTCATTAAAATTAAAGTTAGTGATTTGTTTTGTTTTCTTTGTTCTAAGGAATGAGTTTATGGTACTTCAGATGTTCAACATTTGTTATTGTAGCTCTTTTATCTTGACAACTGATTTTTTTACGAAATTACTCGCGCCAGTTCCCTGACCCGAGCTATATGAATCCAACTTAAATCTGGATTTTAGAGAAATTTGGATTTCTGTCGCTTGGTAACTATTCGTAAGTCGTCGTTGAGGGCTCTGTTTATCCAAGATGGTGGATATTGAAGTGTTGTTTGAAGTTCAAAAAGGCTCAAAAATATCAGATTATTTGTTATTCAGATATTTCAAGCTATTATATACGCAAGAATCTATCCAAAAACATACAAGGAAATAATGCAAAAAGGCTCGAAAATATCAGATTATTCGTTATTCAAATATTTCAAGCTATTATATATGCAAGAATCTATCCAAAAAATACGAGGAAATAATGCATGTAGCAATGGATGCTGTTAAATATAAACATACTCACGAAGCTGAAGTGAATAAATGAATGTTAATTTACTTTCATTATATTATTGTGGAAATTGACAATTTTAAAATAATTCAACAATTCATTGTACTTGCACTAGCCTGCAAAACGATTAAATCTCAATATATACTGTACACCAAAAATGCCAATGTTCCTGTCCATTGTCATTAATTGTACTACGCATATATGTACTGTATATATGTACTGTATATATGTATATATGTATATATATGAGGCGCCAATCTAGTCAATATTCTAATTGATTAATGTGGGTAGTCTTACTTTTTATATGCTCACTATTTTTCGCTATATTTGATCATTTCTATTTTTTTATATAGTCATTGAAATTTCTATTTATATGGTCATTTACTTTTTATATGCTCATTTACTTTTTATATGCTCATTTACTTTTTATGTGCTCATTGAATTTTTATGTGCTCATTGAATTTTTATATGCTCATTCCGCCGAAAATAAAAACTAATTATAGCTCAGTGGTAGTAACTAAACACCAGCCAAGATGGCGTCAAAAAAACTAGAAGAAATTTCGTCCGCTTGCGAAGCTGCTGCACAAGCACTTCAGGCAATTGGTAATATAGGAAATGCTGATATTCAAAACTTAGCTGCATCAACTGCATCGAGCGACAATTCTGTTGCCTCAACGTCTACTACAAACGGTGGAGATGCCATCGCAACCGAACTAGCGCGACGATTTCCAACATACAACTCCAGAGGCCGGAGACCCAGCGGAAATGTTGTTGGAAGATCAAGAACACGAACTTTGGGTAGAAAGCGACGTTCAAATAGCCGTGAAAAGCCACCAGAATCGGATGCAAAGTCCGGACGACCTGCCAAGTCCATATGCCACAAAGATTTAGTTATTATACCAAACCCGTACACTAAACAAGTACCAAGTCATTCAAGTAAAGTGAAGCTCGAAGAGAGAGGGCTAATAATTCACAAATTTCCGTTCGACAGACGATGGAGTCCCGTTGAACTCAGGGAAAATATTGAAAGGCAACTTCCCAGAGATGTTCTTTTTCAATTCATGAAGGTACAGATGAACTAAAGTTAAAAAACTAGTTAGTGTTTTCTTTTCTAAAGCAAAACCTAACTTCACCAAAAACATTATTAACTATCACCCATAACGCAGCAATATATTGTTGCCTTTATATGCCACTGAACATGTTTTTGTAAAAAATTTAGGCTTGCTATGGAACCTTGGTAATCCCAAAACTGGCAGATGGAGTACAGATGAATGGCGAGAGAATAATAAAATTCTCTGGTCAGGGAAGTGTGTACATCAGATGCCTTGATCCCCTAGAGGAAGAGGATAACGATGAGGAGGATGAGCAGCTCTTACATTCTGCCTTTTTTGAAAAATCTGATGATAGTGACCATGGAAGCCAAAGAAAAGAAACATTTTCACAAATTTGTGGAGAAGCAACCCAGCATGCCATTCCACCCCAAATGACAGTTCCAGATGAACCTTCTGTTTTAGCTCAACCTGTTAACGTTTGTGAAGATCCAGTTATTTTGCCATCTCCGTCTATTGTATCTTGAAATAGTCAAGAATTACCAGAAATATTTCATGAAGACATTTCATGGTATGATCCAACTATTAGTGAAACTGAGGCTGTAGTTACTAATGATGCCACATTATCACCATCAAATACATTGCCGAATGATCTTGAAATCCCCACTAGGACCATAAGAGTTCATAGGTCTCTAATCAGAGAGGATATGCTTGAGTTATTTTCAGATCCATCTATTTCAAATGTTTTTTTGCATGTCATTATTATTAACATGGCCATGAAGAGTTGGGGGAGGAAAGTGGAGTGTTAAGAGAGTTGTTTTCACTTTTCTGGAAAGAGGCTTATGAATCATACATGCTAGGTGAAAGTGAGAGAGTTCCCTATATTAGACATGATTTCAATAGAAAGAGGTGGGAAGCTGTTGCAAGGTCGGCGTTAGATCATATCGAACTAACGTACATGACGTCATAAATTTTGCAATAACGGAAGTATAATAACAGAAGTCTTACATGAAGTCTTTCTAGAGCTGGTTCATAAAAATGATAAAATAAAAATGGCGATGAATGATGATACATTTATACATTTATAAATGTACACGAAAGTGTAAATGTTTGTTACCCTCATACCCAGTGTAGGAGTGATCATATACTTATGTAATAGTATCTCTGGCATTACCTTAATTACGGTAAGGGTTAGGGTTATTGAAAATTTTATGACACCAGTAACACCAACTGAGGGGGAAACATTACCACATTTAAAAAGGTTCATCAGGGGACTAGATGAGGCCAAGCTTACCACATTTTTAAGATTTTGTACTGCCTCTGATGTGATGCTTACTGACACCTTAAACATTACTTTCACATCTCATGAAGGTCTTCAGAGAAGGCCAGTTGCTCATACATGTAGTTTCACTCTGGAAATGCCAAGCACCTATTCAAACTTTTGTGAATTAAGGGAGGAATTCATGGGAATTCTAAATTCGGGAGACTGGGAAATGAATATAGTGTAAAGGAAGAGTGTGTGCAAGTTAAATACTAAATTGACATACATATTTATTACAGAAAATTTTGGGATAATTTGAATTAATGTTTATAAATGAAGTAAATGGTGAACCATTCTGTAAATGTAGTTGCATGTAATTGTTATTGATATTGATATTTATGGTTAAAGTTAATTTGAAAATGTTACTATAACCACAAGCACAATTTCGAGCTTGGAACAAACTGTAACCATGCATGTATGTTGTAACTTGTTAATACTATTGATATTGATATTATATTAAAGGTTTTAATAGTTATTTTTGTAATTGCTCCTGCATAATGTGTTCAAATGAAAATATATTGGATTTCATAGCCATTTTTAATATAAAAATGTTCATTTTCATATTGAAATTTACTATATGCTCAACTATGCTCATTTGGTTTATTGCTTTGTGTAACATCTGCTTTAGTTGGTATTATGTAAAGAACATGCAATTACGCTTGTGTTTGGGTGTTTTGCCTGTTTGGCTGACTAAATCATGGAGCTTAGAATTTCTAAACATCGTTTGTAAGTATCTTCACCATTTACAGGATCATCCTGCAAAGGGTCGCATTCGTTAGCTAAATTTTCCATTTGTTCACTGGAAATCTCAATATTTGTTTCTGGAACCATGACCTGGTAATCATCTTCATCACAGGGAATGGGCCTGCGGGATCTACACCGTAATACTGCGTATTGCTGGGATCTAAGATGCTCTCAACTCCAGAATATCCAGTGTGCCAATTCTCAATTACACCAGATGTACATAACTGAAGAGGGGTGCGGTTTCCCTCAGACGATAAAGGGTGATTTTGCCACTGGCATTTAAATTCTTCAAGGCATCTGTTAATTCTGGGAATGTATGTATAATGCAAGGCAAACAAATGTAGTTCGTTTAAAGGATCAAGGAACTGGTTGTCCTCTAAGTGGGCAAATGTTCTAGCAAAAAAACACAGTACGCCAGCGTAGACGTCCCTGTGAGCTCGCTCAACACGTGAGTTATGTACGGAACTACCAGTTATTATGCTACCCCTTCCAACACCTCTGTGTTCCAGCATAAACTGTGCCACCTTGAAGTTTTCCATGCCGTAGTCAGTTCGCACTCTCGATGGCAATCCAAAGTTGGTCACTCCTTGGACAAATTATTCCAAAACTGTAGCTGCTTTAGCAATGTGCATAAATAATGATATATCCGTCAACACACAAATGAATAATCAGTCTCCACCTGATAAGCTTGTGGTTGCTATCAATATGCCACGGTGGGAACAAAGTACTTCCTTCTGTAAATTGCTAATCGCCATCACAAAGCTGTACCCACAGGATCAATAAAACGTAGGCAGTTTCTCACTCGCCATCTTTGAATGTGAAGTCCTCTACTTCTCAGAGCTCCAAGCAGCCGGGCTTGTCCTATATTAGGAGTTAATTTTTGGATTTCTCGAACCCTATGCTCTAATTCCTCGTCTGTAATCCGAGTCCAATTTGATTCCTCCTGTTGAGTCATTCCGTATAATATTCTTCTTCTTCAAGTGTGCTCTCGCTTATTCCCAGGAGACTAGCAATTTTTATCCACGGAAAGTGAAGGTCCCGTAGAAATTGTATTTGATCTTTTTCAACGATGTAGTGGGGACGACCAGGGCGATTTCCTGTCTTAGCAGTTGGACACGAATAGAAATTTTGAGTTACTAATGCCAATGCTTGGTTACTGTATTCTTTTAATGTAATGTAAACTTCTGTAACCTTGGATAAAGTGAAGTCTAATATTAGCTTTACTTCGGAGTATGCATCATTGTGCTCAATATTTGTAACTAACAATCGAAGGGTGTCTGCAGCCGTCTGAAGTCGATCAATAGCTTGATCAATTTCTGTCAAACACAAATTCTGGGAATTGATTTTCTCTTGAAAAGATGATACCGATGTGAGCAACAATTATAAGTTATCAAAGAACAAAAACAGTCCATTTTCATTTCTTTCTCTCGCTGTTGCCACTTGACTCATATTTCATAACAGTTGGCGAGGTGATTACATGTTTACTAGTGGAGTACTTACATTAGAAAGACTACGTATGTTCGCTACTGTCCGAAATCAGTACGTGGGTACGTGTGTACGTGTGTATGTATATATGTATATATGTATATATGTATATATAGGTATATAGGTATATATGTATATAGGTATATATGTATATATAGGTATATATGTATATAGGTATATATGTATATTTTAGGTTACAAAAAGGATCAGCTCCTTTTCGTAACCTGACAATTTCTACTATATTTTTTAAATTTAGAAACAAGTGGGTGGGTGGATCGATTGATCGATGGATGGATGGATGGATGGATGGATGGATGAATATATGTATTCAAAAATTAAACTTTTAATAAACTAAATCAAATCAAATACATCTTGTAATATATACTACGTTTCGGGGCGCAGCCCCTTCTTCAGAAATGTTTCCTTACTAATCCTAAGCCTTCTTATATAGTTACAACAAATTTGCATACATAAATTAACCTTAAGTTTCCTCCCTCACATTTAATCCCATAGGACAATAAGTCATTAACTTTTCTATCCAAAAACTTTCCCTCTCATTTGGTTTTGTATATATATGTTATAAGCTAAAGTCCTTTTGTATATATGTATATATATGACAATACTATTAACAGACATATTGATATTCCTGCAGTCTATCTGCAACTTAAGACAAAACGTAAGGACTCTATCAATAATCACATTAATGTAACTAATAATAACTTAAATCCACCTGCATCTGATACACAACAATCTAATCATTCCACAGCGACCATCCCTGACAACGAAATACAGTCAACCATGACAACGCACCCCTCAACTACCACTCATATCAGATCAACTTCAAAACAACCAATCAGACGCTCTCAACGTATACAGAGTCTTAAAGAACAGCGCGAAACTTAAATATATAAAGCTATACACATGTAAATAATAT